TGTTTGCACTGGAAGTGCTGAATTTGTGTTATATTTTTCCTGTGCTGTGTTCTTATGAAGGTTCTTTATAGTTGGTGAATCATTACTGAGTGAGCGTGTCATCTCTTAGATTAATGATAATGATGACTTCATTCCAATGTCTATATTGGCTTCCTGCTTCACATTAGGGCATATTTTATTTCTGTTCTGTCGTCATCAGATTACACTGGGCCATCAATTTCTCTTCAAAAGACGTTCTCCTTAATTTATACCTGAGAATCTTTATCGGAAATGATTTCATCTGAGAGAAGCAAAACTGTGAAATGTTTTCCGCTTGACTTCATATGCTTTTCTGCTCAGAGAGGAAACTCTGAAGACGGCTTGCAGTGGAATCACGGATGCGCATATCTTACTATTAGAGACTCATTAGTTGTATGCAGATACGTCCCCATTGAGACTCGAACACAACATCCTCCGTTTCAGACGCCAAAGCTAAATCCACTAGGCCAATGGGAATGCCAAATTCAGTGCAACGGGGGTTACTTGTTATGTGTTCAACCTAATTTGTGCTACCCTGGACTTCACTTCTAGTTACCACCAACCAACCAAAAAGCGTTTGCCCAAATAACGTGCAGAAGGCAAGTGAAAGTGGGTCAGACACATGCTGAGGGGACTGTTGAGTAACACTGTGCCAGGCCATCCTGCCGTTAGAACCTGAATGGGGAAGACGAGCTGACTGTGGGTTTGAGAGTGACATGTAGGAGACCATTTGAGGAGATGAGAGCTTTCGGGCAGTCGTTGGACAGGTTAAAGAGGACTTCACAGAACAGGATGAAATGGAGATGTGCTGTTGAAGCCCAGTATTTCACTTGGGACCTAAAGAAATAATAACAGTCTTCAGACGTCCATGAAATGTCAGTAATAAGAGCTGACATGCCTACAGAGACCGAGGATTTCATTTCAATGTAATCAACTGAAGAGAAATGTAAACTAATTTAAACTCAGCTAAATTAGTCGGATCTTTCAATTATCTTATCTGAATCCAGTGGTTGTTGTGGAAAGAATGTTGTATCGTTCGTATATTCGCAGTTAATTACATTAAATTTCTAAAATGTAACCCAGTGGTTGGCACATCGCGACTGCATACACTTGTGTGTATAGTCCACCATTATATTTGAAATTATTGTACATTCCAGCCACCCACTATTTGAGTGAAATATTCTGCGGTCTTTGAAGAATCTTAGATGTTACACCTGCTGCAACTTAAAGCTTTTTTAGTTTTACCATTATGGCTCCTCAGTATACTATGAATCTAAATGATCAGAAGTTTTCTAAATTCTCATTGTTCTTATGTGTTCTGATACACTTCATTGTTATCAATCTACTGGGAATCAGTAATATAAAATCGGTCACAATCTATTCAAAACATTACTCAAAAAGACTAGAGTGCAACCCTTACTGCTTCGAATTTAAAAGCCTTATCCACTAGGAAACGTGAGACAGAATAACTAGACATTTGAACAGCCAGTACAAACTTTGGTTGTTGTTACTGAGTCAAAATATGCATACATACAGTCCATATATTCAGTATAATCAACGTGAAATTTCAAACTTACTTTTTATACTTTTGACTTTTTACTTTCGATTACATCTTGATTCCACACCGTATTTTCAGTACAAGTATGGAATTTTCAGCACGGATATCGGTAGCCCAAATTTTGCAGGCCGACCATAGATATCGGGTGTGCGCCGGCAGGGGATCGAACCCCGGACCATGTGCATGGTCGGCGAGGGTCCTAACCACTGTGCCACCGACGCACAAAGATGGACAGTAAATTTGAAGAGTGACTGGATTCTTCTACAGTTGTCCTAAATAGACATACTGAGGAGATTAGCACTTTGCTTTTAGAGATTAATTGTTTCAGGCATTATCTAGGACTTCAATGAAGTTACTCCAGTTGTGGAATTGAATGATATTTGAGAGATGAGTTATTTATAATTTTCCTGGCATATCGTTTTCTTAGATGCATAGTAATGATTAATATGTGACACAAGGGAGTGGTATCTGAAATTGATCAAATTAAGGTATGAAAACAGTTACAACGGCATTCATATAAAAGTGTGTGTCCCCTGTAACTCCTCTCAGTGGAATGCTTATTCTTCTCTAAGATACATATGAATTTCCATAGTTTTCTCGAAATTTTCCTATTACTTTTTGTGTGTGTACAGGTCGATCGTAGTCATTCTTCTTGGATGATGTCTGTCGAACGCCAGATGTCTTGGTCTTTTTCACATACAACCTCACATGTACTTGATATATTTAATTCTTAGTATACTGATAGAATCAGGCTACTGATAATTACAAGTTTTATGTTATCATTTGCATAGTATCAACTTGTCATATCACGAAGTACCTTCAGACTTTATTTACTGATCATGATATATCGGGGTTAGTTTGTTGAGTAGAAGAAAACATCTTTCAGCTGTATACCTGCTGATCTGTACTTCTTATTAACACACTGTCTTGAATTAAACAAAAAGATTTCGGGTTAACTGTCTCAATAATCATCTTTACTTTGGTGAAATCCCTTATTTGCTAGTTAGAAGAATTGCAAAAATCAGTGACGTCCATGTAGTTTGATGATGAAACTTTTTAAATGTAAAATGTCAAACAAATGTGCATCGATGGTTCAGAGGTAGAATATGCGCCAAATACATGTCTGGTCAAGATTCGAATCCCGGCCTACGCTCTCCTGAACCTCGCCTAGTCGGAAAGTAAATCTATTTAAAGAGAGAAGGTTGGGTGTTGGGCTAGCAACCCTACCCCGTAAAAACACTAACACAAGTACTACTGAAACTTCGAAGCAGTGAAGAAAGGTGTTAAATAATCGACGGAATTTAGAAGATATTCATCAAAACTGGTTATACGAACACGTAAAGTTAACTAGTCAAAAACCACCGCCACTACTTATGTAAAGAACTAGTTAATTATGACAGCCTGGGGTATCTACCAAATAGTTGCCGTCCAATAACATGCACGCAAATATTGATATAAGAATAAAACTTGTGCACTGTGGTAGAGTCTAATTCCATTGTGGGTAAATTTTGTTTTGATAGTCTCACAGTGTTATACAATAATGTTTACTGATGACGTTTCCAGCATAATTTATTGCTCATAATCATATCAAGGTAATCACACGACTTCCTAAGTTCATTTATATAGTTCCATTGTTTTTCACTTGATTTGATTGGTAGTATTATTTTCCATATTTCGGGTATGAGTGATGATTCATTCCTATTGCATGTGTTGGGTGTAGATTCGATGAACAAAGATTCAGTAATCAACCTCTCTCTCCACCTACCTAGATTACTTTTTAGAATTTTAACCCTCTCCCACCCTATTGCGTGGATGTGTGCTAATGCATGCATTGCAATTGCTGAGCTTTTTTCTAAATTACTTATCTTCCCTGGGTCAACCATTCTTACCTTAGCTAAATTCTTTTGTTCTGACAATCTGACTACCCCTGACCTACTGGTTTGACCTATGTAGTTGACCTCACAGTCATTGCAGGGTATTTTGTAAATTATATTATTTTGTCTGATTGGGTCCACTGGGTCCTTTAACCTATAGAGCTTGTCCCTGAGTGACTTTGTAGGTTTAAATGCCACCCTAATTCCCGCTTTATTGAGAATCCTACGCAGGGTCTCAGATGTCCCCTCTTTATATGGTATAACTGTTGATGACTTATATTCTCTCTTTTTATGTTATTATTACTAGTTTCACAATTCTTCTTATTTTTCTTTTGGCGTTTTTTAATCTTCCTAATGAATTTTAGAGGGTAGTTATTTAAAACCAACGCCTCTTCTATCTGTTTTATTTTATCATTTAGGTCTTTTTTTGTGCTACTTAGTGCCATTGCTTGGTTTGTTAAACACTTAACTAAGCCTGCCTTAACAGTTAAAGGATGAGATGAATTAAAGTCTAAATATCTATTAGAATTTAGAAAGTCATGTGATTACCTTGATATGATTATGAGCAATAAATTGTGCTGGAAACGTCATCAGTAAGCATTACTGGATAACACTGTGAGACTTTATCAAAACAAAATTTACCCATAATGGAATTACACGCAAATATGATGTACATGTGATACAGGAAGGTGATGGGAACTGAGTGAAATATATATATATATATATATATAGTCTCTGCCAGGATATTACATTTCATTTTTCATATCTATGTACTATATTCGATTTCTAAAAGACATACCCATTCGATTTAATAAACTTATGTTTGTTTTATTTTTTTTTTCACTGTCCTGTCAAGTACCATGTGATGAAGATGAGGAGTTCACTTCGAAATATGCAACATATCAAAATGAAAGCCACAATTTAAGCTGTAATCAAACAGAAAACACTGATAAAAATAGTGATTTTACTCAAGAGAGGTCGGCATCTGAATACAGAAGTACTGCAGACTATAGCAACTATGCCAATTTGGATTCATTTCAGTTTCATCCATCTGATTACAAAGAACATAACGAGGCGAACATTTTTAATAATGATACACTGGTGCAGCAACATTTTTATTATTCACAAAATTCACAAATTTCTCCTGTAAATACTGAAGTAGATAATAATAATAATAATAATAATTGGTTTAATGATAATAATTCTTTATCAGTTACAAAGTCTTTCAGAACACAGCTGTCCGAGGAAGGTATACAACCTAAGGAAGATTCAGCTGATTATTATGGTTTAATTATTCCTCAGAACAACTCTCAGGATGTTGAAGACGATAATGATTTTACCAGTAGACAGAACAATGATGATGATGATGAATACATTCGAACCACCGAAGTGGATTATGGATTTTCTCAGTATTTAGAAACACTTCAAATGAATGAAAAGAACAGTAATTATACATATCCTCATTTTATCAGTCAGTCGCGTAGACAATCATGTCCATCAGCCATCGATACTAAACTGTCATTCCTACAGTCACCAGTAAGTTCAAGACAGAAGAGATATTTATCATCACAGTTTAGTTATTTCGAAGAAAATGAATACGATTTCCACTTTACTGATGATAACCCTGCGTCAAAAATCTGTAAAGATGAAGACTATGCTCATCACGACTTCGAAGAGCACTACAATCCAGTCACATCAAGTATGAGTCATTTTCAACATCATGAAGCGGTATCAAGTAACTTGGATTTACTTTTTCCATACAGTTTAGAAGAACCATGGGATTATGCTGAAGATTTACGTAAAATAGATGAAGATATTTATAGACGTACATCTACTCCAAGTACTACTGTTAGTTATGGAATTATGGAAGAAAAAGGTAGACTGATCGATACAAGTAAATCGGTAATTACACAAAGTGTGGGATTAAATGAAAGCGAATATGTAAATAGTGTTATACAGTCATCAATTAGTGATTATGAAAATATACATTGTTCAGATGAACAAACTGCTGGTACATCACACTTTCATACTACTCAAGCTTCAATGAATGATGCATATTTAAATTGGTTAAATGATATGAAGTCAAATTACTTTTACGATCAACAAGATACCTTTAGGAGAGATGATTACAACAGCAGCAGTACTGGTTCCACCATTGCAACTTCTATTGCTGAACAGAATGTCATATTAAAACGTTGTCCGAATTTTGAAAATATAAGTTGCTTGTCTAGTGTCCCTGGTATCCAACTAACACATCATGATAGTGATCTGCAAGGCAAGTCAATGATTTCATGTGAAATGCATGATGAGAAGGAAGATATAGAAGTAAATAGTGATAAGCCAACTAAAATATGGGGTAGAGAATATCGTGACAGAGCACAGGTAGGTTGAGCATACATTGATTATATTTGCATTAATTTTAATAAGGCTGAAAACCCCCACTATTGATTGGTACGTATTAACGAAAATCGACTTCGTTAGTCATTTTCGAGCAATGACTTATTCCTTATCAGAAACCATGTTAGTATGCTTACTACCAGGTTTTCAGTTTCAAACACTTATCATCATTTTTAACGTCAGAAATTATAAAAGAAGAACATATCTTCAGTTTTTGTAGTGTTCATTGGCCCTTTTTCAGAGGAGTTGGACAGCTGTTATGCCCGTTAAGCCCTTTGACTTTTCTATGCGGTTTCAGTAGCTGGTTACTACACTAGTTTCATTTACAACCAATTTTCTTGACCGTCTTTGTATTACGTAACTCTACCCAAAACTTACGAAATTTCATCTGTTTAGTTAAAATAACCATAACCAATTGTATTTTTGTTTGACAAACTTAATGTACACATGCATACAAAATAACTCATATATATTTGCGATTGTACAGCTAAGAAAATGAATTCGCCGAAAAGAGACTCTTCGATGAACTACGTGTTTTGTTTTCATAAATGCCTGGATGGGGATTATTCATAAATATAGAAAATGACAGTAACTTATGAAAAGCCTGACTGTTGATCTAAGATCTCGAGGAATGATCCTATTTTAAAAATGATGGAAGCATTTATCACTTCATTAAGAACGCAGGAGAAAATGGACCTTCACCGCTGATGTCTAAAAAGTATCTGAATTATAAATCCATCATCACCTCTAGTTGTCCACTTGTCGCGAATACGGAGTACAAAGCCACATAACAAAAACAACAGGCCATTTGGAATTATAGTCTCAGTGGAAACCCGAAAGTCCTTGTAATTATTCAAAGTGTCCTAGGCACTGGATACGAAATTTTGAAGTTATGTACTTACTAAAATGCAACATGACCTAGCATATTTCTTGATGCGAATCACTAGGTTTTTTCATACAAGATAACAGAACCAAGTGAACATTAGTATTTTCACCACATAGTGTAATAGTCCACTAAAACAATTTCATACATAAGAAGAAAGTTCTTTTCTAGAATCATTATATTATTTCTCGATAAGGACTACAAACTGCAGCCATTCTGTGGAATTGGTTCAGCACTTTCGGTTTAACAAAGAACAATCCATTTGTTTATTGCTTCCAGAACTATTTCGGTGATTACTACCTTTTGTTCTAAAAAAGATATTTTCAAGAATTGTGATGGGAAAAACATTTAAACTTTTCTGCCTACTTATTTGTTTTCAGTAGAAACGTGAGTTAGAAAAAATTGTGTTGTGTTATTATGGCTGAAACCAGCATATTGTATAACCTGACTACAACATTTAACTAATGCTGGTTTCCAATAAAGTCAGATATTACTTTACCTGCTCATAATAAACCAAGTTACAGTGATTACTTCTACTCACCTTATTCTTTTCGAATTAATGGCAAACCTTTAAGTATATAATCGCTTGAAATTCAGTAAGCATTCAATGAACACATAATATTATTCTTCCCACTTCCAAATTGTTTAAGAAGAGAGTTGTTCCGATTATCGTTAGTCTTTGAATAGCAGCCACGGTCAAACTTCCACAGGGTCTAAACCCATTTCAATTTTCATGTGAATACTGAAAATCTTGTAGTGATAAAATAGTCATCATTTTTAGGAGGCCTTAAATATTTGAGGTGATCGGAAAATATTCACTAAAGCCAGAAACACAGAAAGTATTTTATAAAGGAATGGAGGGAGTTCATGTATTTGACCTCTTTGCCTTTTATTTGATAGGAAATATGAGGAAGTACTTGACATATAAGAAAGTAGGTATTACTTTCAAAAATATTAGTTATTTACTACATTGGTAGACATTTTCATTTGTTAAGTTAAACATTCCTTGAAAAAAGAAGGACTTAGATAAGCTGCTATCGAGTCCCAGTGTCCAAATGGTCTGCCAGCTAGCTTTGTAACCTAAAGGTTCTGGGTTCGAACCCCGGTGGATGCATGCTATTGAGGAGTCCAAAACTAGGACGAAACAGCTGTCCAGTACTCCTTGGTCTTCAATGGCACTCTGACTGATGTCAATCCGTGATGAGACTTCAAACTAACTCTTAAAAGCTATTATCGAAAGATAGTAACAGACAGCTATATATATTCATTATCGAGAAGTCTTAACAATCTATGAAAAAATCTCTCAAAATATTATTGATTTTAGTTACCTCAGAACTAAAAGATGTCAGAAGGATTTGCAAAGAAAAAAAATAAATGAATAAAAACCACAGAGATGTCTGGAATTCTGAAAGAGTAAAGGAATCTACATAAATATGAGCATACTGAAGACATCAAGTGAATGCTCCAACTGTTAATCAAGCCTGATTATATTGACTAGAATTTCCTGTACAAGGTTGAATTATGATTTAATGGATTTATGTGTGCAACAGAACTGAATATAAAAAGTCACCGGAAACAACACGCTTTAAAAGGAGGACATTGGACTCTTGAGGTTTTTGTTGTTTGTATCGAGAAAAGATTTTAGAAAATCTAGAAGTTTCACATGGGAAAGAAAAAATGGAGTCAGTTAAGTTCAAACGGAAATAAAAAGTGTCAGAAATGTTAACCCACCATCTTTTGTAGATATGATGAATTATAGAGAAAATAAATTAAGCTGTAAACTTAATTAGTTGCTGATATTCGTATTGATGTTGTGATTTTAAACGTGTCAACTTAATGAGAAATGCAGCTACATGAAGCTTCATGTAGTTGATATCTGTGCATCTAACTATTGAAAATGACATTAATAAGAGAACCGTGGAAATTCGCATTGAACAATGCCTTCATCCCATGTTGGGAATCTTCAGTAGCACACATCCGCAATCCCACCAGAGATTAAACTCATAACCTTCAGTTTATCACACTGGAGCTTTTACCACTGACCCACTTGATTTAGAGTCCAATGACTCGTGTGTACTAATTTTTGTCAACTCTCCATACAGCACTAACGCCAACCAGTATCACTGGTGAACATCTGCTTCATTCTCGACATGATGAATTACAACAACCCAGTGGTTGAAAGTTCAAAGGACTGGGTTCGTTACCTGAGGGTCTTGGGTTCGATCGCTGGTGAGGTCATGAGTGCACACTATTGCAGAATAGCAAGCCAGGACAAAACAGTTATCTAGTGCTTCTCGTGACAGAATCTTTATTGAAATCACCACAACCAAAATTTGAATAGTGAAAGTGAGTTCTTGTACCGAAGTGTAACTTAAAAACAATGAGACAGTAATTAGTATCACACATTGGGAGGTCGTCGACATTTTATTCGGATTTATTCTACTAAATTTAAAAGATCCGTCAAAGTGAAAACAATTTTCGTTTCTGTCAAAATGTGACTGCGCGATCCACCTTATAACAGTGATGCATTCTACACACACACTACGTCGATATCATTTAGCGTATTACATGGCTGGAGGCAATCAGCAGGAAGCCATGGGCCTACTTTTTGTGCTTGTTGGCAATCGTCAGCAAGGTTCATCTGCAACCTTGGGGTAACTCATGTACTCTTTGATATTTGAACTCGCGTCACTCAGAGCTGCAGACAGTAGAGTTACTACTGGTCTATTCACCTCCTATTGATTATTCAATGTGAACATCAATTTAATCTAAAATATACTTCTATTATCTCATTTGCTTTACCTAGACTTTCGTGAATATCTCCTGAGTCCTTGAGCGTGATTAGTTGTTTCTGAAAAATTTCCTACCCTCTAGTTCACTTGTATTGGTACCGACTATTTACTCCACTTGAAAGTTGACCTTTTTTGTACGTTACTTCCTCTTTACTGACTGATAAATTTTATCTATGTCAATATGTCTGTTGAATGCAGATTTGTCTGAGTACAAAGATTCCCTGGCATTTCTGGTGTTTCCTTTGTCTAGGATTAATAGGTTTCCCCAATCGATTTGGTGTCCGTGGTTGTTTGCATGTTTTTTGATGACCGATTCATAATTGTGAATACGAAGACAAACAGGATGTCCACTTTTACAAAATATAATGTTTTTCACAGTTGTTGCAAATCATCTTGTATTGATGTAGGTCTTGTCGGCTTTTGTTGTTGTGTCTTTTGATTGACATGGTAGAGATTCAAGTGGTTTTGCCGGTTTGTGAGCAAAATCCATTCCAAAAGGTTCCAGTAGTCTTGCAGCGATATCAGAAGCCTTCCTCTTTTATATTAGGACGATTTTATTTATTCTTTCACAGGATAATTTTGATTTAGTTGACTATGTTGAGCGTAGGTATCTTCTGAAGTTTCATGGATATCCACATTCTGGGAGGCAGTGATAGGATTTTTCTGCATTATTCCACACAATTCAGGGGTGCTGCACTGTGTCTTAGCTGATTAGAATAATGTTTACATACAATGCCTTTTAAGCGCTGTTAGGTGATAGCCGTTGTAGCTGACTATTTGATCTCTACGAGTTGATATTCTCTTTACTTGAGTTTCTAATTTTCCTACGCTTGTTCGCTAGACTAACGCGTCTAAAAATGGAGTTTTGTTCTTGGATTCCTTTTCTCTTGTAAATTCGAAATGGTGGATGTTGTTGTTTAGCTTGTAAGTGTGGACGCCTTAGTCGTCTTCGCATCCACGAACATAAAATGATCGCCAAAACACATAACATCCATTGCCTCATATCAGTGCATGCAGACAACCATGGACACCAATTCGATTGAGAAGATGTATAAATTATAGAAAATCAAAACAATTGATTCAACGAAGAGACTCTTTTCAACGAATTTATTATCAAGTTGTACAATCCTATGTATTTGGTTTTTAAGAAGTTATATCCGGTGAGGGAATGCATAAGATAATAATAGTAGTATGAAATGCAATTAAAATATTTGTGATTACAATCATAGTTAAATGTCAAGTGGCAAAACAAATTAATGTCATATATAGAATAATTCATAGGATGTATAGAATTTGGAATGGGGGGAAATTATAGGATTAGTAGGCAAATCGAATACAGTAAACACGCTACGTAACATTGTGTGAAATTTGATAACATAGAATTTAACGTTGCAAAAAAGAATTGATTTAGAATGACAAGTGGGACGAGTGAAATAATACCGGGGACAGTTCAAAGCGAGAATAGTAGTAGTAACAATTGACGTAATAAAGGAAGAGTATGCAAATTGAATAGACAAAGTGAAAAAATTGTTAGAGCCAAAATATGATTAGGGATTACCATACTTTAGCATAGAGAGATTAAGACCATGAAAGTTGGAAGGGTTGAACGAACTTTTTCTGCACACAGAGATCTGGCTTTTCTGTTTCGATGGCCAAAGCTTCAGCAATACAGATGAGTCGGGTACGTAGTGATTTCGGTAAATTACTTTTTGCCTTGTAGATGACTTTAAAGGCGGAGGCTATAGAGATAGGGTGATCATTATCAACCGGATGTTCAGTGATTGATTGTACAGCTTGATAATAAATTTGCTGAAGACAGTCTCTTCGCTGAATCACTTGTTTTGATTTTCTGTATAAATTATAAACAAAGGAAACACCAGAATTGTCAAGGAATTTTTTGAAGCCTGGTACTCAGACGAATCTAAAGTCAACAGACACATTGACACATTGATGAAATTTATCAATCAATAAAGAGGAAGTAACGTACAAAAAAGGTCAACTTTCAGGTGAAGTAAATAACTCATTGTAAAGCTTTTTCACTATTGACAGCTTTAATCCAGGTACTATGAATGGTCGTTAGTATGTCTTACGAGATTAACAAAAGTCAGGGTGGTAGTAAACTCTCTGAGAATATTTGGAATCAATCAAGATTTGGAAATCTAAGGTTAAGATTTCACCTTGTAATACGTAATTCACACCCGTACATTATATATCTAAAAAAGTTTTATTCAGACAGTTAACATCACCTTTAACTGAATTTTAGACTTTCCAGTCGATTGATTGGACCGAAGTGCTCGGTCTCAGGTTGACATGACATCACCCTCACTTGTTTAACTTATTCTGTCGACTATCTTTACGAGAGTATACGTAGGTAGGTAGGTACTTATAAAGGCATGATAGAAGACAGAATTTATTCCATACTGTTTACAACATTCACCATCTTCACAAAATTGATTTAACCAAATCAACAATTTCTAAAGTGCAAATTTTCCAAATTCGTTTTTATCTCCACTGATAAGTTCTCATTCTGTGATCTTCCATCCTATTTGTTTACAATAATAAATTTAATCAGTATGCATAGAAGTTTTTGGAATTGACCCAGGTTATTCTTTATATTTCAGCTATCTTGTCCATTTTCAAACCTACTCTTTTAGCTGTTTATTTGTTTATGTTTATAATTTGATTTTCGTACTCTTACCAATAAGGTAGTATTTATCACAGTGAAAAAAAATTTATTTTCATACCTACTTTTTTATTGGGAGTTTACTATCAAGTTGGTCGTCTCATTAAGTTGTTTGTTTTCTAAAGTGAGTATGTACAGCTAAATGTGATATGCGCTTAGATTTGTTATTTTTATTATTATTATTAAAACAGAAATGTAGTTCACTATGAACACTGAGAGGTGCAGCTTACAAAATCTTATAGTTTGTGAGAGAGTTGGGAAACTGCACTGACGCCCAGACTGGGTGGTTGTCTAAAGCGGCCAATCCCTCCGATCCACACGTCAGGGGAGCAGCGCCAGAGGCTACTTTACTATGGTTTCCGGTAACGAAATCAGATTCATACGGTGTTAAGCCTGGTTCAATTCTGGAGCCCATTTACACCACAAGTTTGGAATCAGGGTTTCCCAGCTCCCCTAAGTAGAACTGAATGTCATCAATCAAGTTGTAAGCGACAGACGTCCACATTCTTCCTTTCACTTTTATAAAAAAAGACTCCTGCCACGTGAAGACAGTGAATAGGACTTACATGGCAGAGGCTATGAATGCGTAACCACATCACAGCATTTCGAGAGGAAGACCGAAGTCTACCCACCCCAGCCGTACCACATCGTTTATGCTGACTTTAATGTGACTTCTGAATACTAGAATACTTCCTGCTATATAGTTTTGACAAATTCAGTAAGTACAAGCTTCAAAAACACAAGAGCAGCACGAGCACTTTGCCATCAAAACGATATTGTTGAGGAGAATACAACGATAAAGTAATTTGTTGCGCAATTCAACTGAGTTTTTTCCGCTCTATATCGCTAAATTATTGTTTTTATACGAAGGAATTTTCTCTCAGGTTTACATTTTGAAAGCACTGGAAACGGAGCTAGAGACCGCAGTGGATATGCTGACGCCATTATTGCAACAGGTTTGGAGGGAAGGGAAAGTACTTACAGGTTGAAAGAAACGCTACTTTGTCAAACTACCAAGGAAGGGCGATTTACGCCTCTGCGGCAACTGGCGTGGAATAGTGCTATTGTCCACGCCAAGTAAAATACTGAGTCGCGTCATCCTGAAGAGAATAGAAGATGCACTGCATGCAGAATTCCGCACCCTGGAACAAACTGGATTCAGAAAAAGTGAAGCATGTGCCGATCAAATTACAACTCTAAGCATCATCATCATCAAATAGGGCATAGAATGGCAGTCAGGCTTCTCTGTCTATTTCCATCAACTTTGAAAAGGCCTCTGACAGCGTTGACCGCGGAGTAATTTGGAAACTACTTCAACACGATAGCATGCAGTGCCCAAATATTTATCGACCTCATTCATTAGCTACATGACGGTGACACGTGTCAGCTGATCCACAATGGAACATTCAGCGAAAACCTTGAAGTGAATACAGGAGTAAGATAATGATATTCCTAATTGTGGTGGACTAGACTATGAGGAAGACTGTGCGTGGGAATGAGAAGACAGGAATAAACTGGACCTATAAAAAGCCTCTAGAAGATCTGGATTTCGCGCGTGCATGATTTATGTCTGATGTCACACAAACTCGAAGACTTAAAAGCGAAAACCAACAAACTGGCAGAAGAAGCAGACAGCGAAGACGGAACTTCAAGTGAAGCCACAGAGAAGACGGAGGCGATGGAGATAACCAACCAACGACGACAACAACCAGCTCCGATCACCATCAGGGTGGAGGTGAGCTGTTGAAGCCCTATGTTCCTTTCGGGACCTAAGGGAATAATAATAACAATAATAATAATAATATGGTCAATTACTTCACGTTTGTAAAATTCAAACTGCTGTCCTTGATGTAATAATTTAGAAACTTCACATCGATTAAAATGACAGTTTTTATATACTGTTGGTATATGTGAGGTGTAGGTAGTTATGGCAGTATATGATAATCATATAAGACCACTGAAACGCCAAAGCGCAAGTCTGAAACTTTATATTCCACTGGGGATGCATAGCAATGAATAATAATGTAAGACTGCATAGCAATTATTGATCTGCAAATACTTGATAGATTTCAACGACATGATGCATTTTTTCATTCCTTCACGTTTCGGATAGTTTGGAACTTCTCAGTAGTGGCCACCTGTAGTTCAGCAAAGAGCCAAATTCAAAACCATAGAATGCTCAGTGAACATTTTCCAGTCTTCTCTAGGTTACAGTTATTACACTTCATGATATGGAGTACTGCTAGTGTTCTAAAGTAAGTGTAAATAAGTGTTCAATGTCTTCTGGTTTTCAGCTGACTTCATTTCGGAAAAAGACGAATAACTGAAGTTATTTATTTATTTATTTCAAACTAATTAATACCACTTTAATGCATATTACAAATCTGACATTCGTGTACAGTTGACATCGCTTAATTTGGTGTCATTTACTGAAGTGTGTAGCTTTGAGTACTCTGTGCATTCATTATTCAGTTTCTATTACTTGTGATTGGTACAGTACTAGCAACAGTTAGAAACACTCGGCTACTGAAACTAAACAGAATATTTAGACATTCTGCTCTTATTTAAGTCATTAAAAAAATAACACTTTTGTAATATTTTGTTGATTAATTCTTAGATAACTGATTCTTCCACATGTGTCACGAACATATACGATGATATTCAACCAGAATTGGAAATTTGGTCCAATATTTTTAATACCTCTGAAATGGTTGTTGATACAGCTAGGGAGATCTCTACGCAACTGAATCTTTTGAGCGCATTAGAAGAAGGAGAAGGAAGGGAAAAAACAGAAGGTGTAAGACACAATATTGATGAAAATTTTAGAGAAACTGCAGCGAGCAAATCTTCAGTATCATCAGCGCCGACTGAAGTAGCAACAACAATAACGACAACAACAACACGTCCAGAAGACACTGAACCAAACGTTTCGTTTGATAATGAAGTAAGCTGTATAATAAAGTGTCTTTTATCAAATGTTCATTGCCGTGATTAATTTTAGTGTAAGACGTTTTATTGGGCGTTTTGAAAAATTAACACTATTCCTAATTTTGTTGATATACTTTATCTAAAAATTCCAAAATGTCCTTTGATAAAGTTAAGATTAGAGGAATTCGTGATATGTAACATGTCTGACATCAGCGGACATGAGTTATAGCGACTGATGTCTTCTGTCTCCACATTTCACAGCTGCCAAGTAGTTATATTCTCTAATGATGGACTTTTAGTGACACACTGTCTCTAGCAGTCAACTTTCAACTAATGCGCCTCGTGTTCGAATCCCATTCCACCTAATTTAGCCTAGTCAACAGGTTGGTATCATCAGTCGTCAGACTATAATTATGGCTTATGGCCTAGTAACTTAGGGACATTTTCTGAGTGACTGAGTTTTAACTATGTGTCTCTTGAGCAGAAAAAATTGGCACCAACGATCATCTGCAGTTGTGGTTTTTACGCTGTCAAAATTCAAATATTTCTTGAACTGTACATATTAATACCGTTCAACAATGTATTCACCTATTTCTGGTTTATATATCTTTATTCGCTTATGATATAACTTTCTTCACAGAATTTCGTTTGAATGCACCATTTTATTATTAGCCTCTTGGATTCCGAGTGGAACCTAGGGCCACAACATCACATCGTCGTTTCACGATGTTCTCTGCAGTCTTTTTTGGTTAACCCCATGATCACCCATAAGCCTTTATTTTCTCTTAAAGTGATTTCTACTACGCCACCGTCTGACTCTAAACTCATCATTTCCAATTGAGGTTTCACTAGAGGGAGAGTGGGATGTCTCTCAACAGCCCTCCCCCTAGGTTTATGTCTAACGCATCTGGATTCCCTTCTGCTAAACGTTTGGGATTCTTGGTTGGTTCTCAGTCAGAGTTCCTCGTCGTTTATCCTTTCCGGATGGGTATATGATCTTCAGTATCCAGCAAAGACAGCTGTTTATGAAAGTCTGAAGCCTGTTTGAGATGCACACCAAGTCTTTGAAGCATAGGAAACCCTCACTTGAGATTAATGTTGAAAATTCAGACCTTTCTCCTTATCCTATCTAAGTGTAGTTTAATTTCCACACTGTTTCACAGCTATGAAGGTTTGTCTTACTTCTACGACCCTGGTTTTGATAGTGTAAAACTATGACGCAACTCAACTTCATCTAAGTTCTGCAGTGACGCATTGTGTCAATATTTGGTTAGTTTACGTTGTACCCTGAATCTATATAATCATTAAAGTCAGTCAAAACAAAATGTTTGTTTGCTTCGGCAAATATTTGCTTAAAATGCTGTAATTACGAGGAGAACTGATTGACAAACATAAATCTGACTATTTACTTTACATGCAGATAAAGTTGTTAGTCAGTTCCCTGGATTAAAGTAAGCCATTTTTTAGCTCCATTATGGATAAGATTTTATTTTGATAAATCACACAGTTTTGTACAGTAATATTGACTGATGATGTTTCGAGCACAAATTATTACTGCTCATAATCATATGATATGATACATTTTTTTGTGATACACGAGGTATGAATTAGAAGTAACTGTGAAATATTTATTGAGTAATATGCAGTCAACAAAAGAATAGACAGTTTTATAGCTAACAACTATTTACCAAAGAATATGAGGGTGTCAGACTGATAGTGAACACCTATCATTCAAGCATTTGTCAGTATGCCAGTCTGTACAAATATTAAATTGATGTACACAAATATACAAAGTTGAACCTACTAGAACTACTTATTTTAGGGGAAATTATTTGAACTCATTAAAAATGCCCATTACAGTTTTCAAAAGAATGGTTACTGAACAAAGAATATTCTTCTCGCTAACTTCATCATCAGGTTTTATAGTTGTACATACATAATAGTGGATGAATTATTGTTATTAACAACATTGATTTCGTTTAAATAATATCAATGGATTAGAGTTCAACAGCATCAACATAACAATACACTGAATATCAGAGAAATTAGGAAAAATAATGATACAAATTCATGAATTTATAGTCTTTACTGAAGGCCAGGTCAGTATTAGTGGCTGGACTTGCTTCTTTTGCACACAAAGCACTGGTTGTTTGAGGCGAATTGCAATAGCCTCTGCTGTTTGGAGTATGTTTTTTGGCAATTTACTTGACACCCGGTAGATGATAGAGAAGTATTTTTCAACACTGGCTTTGTGGCCGGTTTGGATCAGATGGTCGAATATCGACCTGTTGATGGTTTTCACTACACCTTTACTTAGCCATACTTGAAGATGTCCTCAAGTGAGCACGAAAAATCAAGTTCCTAGAGCAACAGCCAATATCACTTTCTGCACAAGCGCAGCTGAATTGGTAGATACAATTGGAAGTGGCTAGTCTAGGTACTTCATCTTTCAGTCGAGGAATCCCCATCGGTCGTGTAGAGAATAAAACATGAAGTTCGTCAGCATTCGAAGTTCTTTGAACTGATTTTTTAAAACTTATTCGTAATTATTTCGCTAGGTATGTCGCCCTTGAATTGCAGTCGTATGTATAAAGGCTTCTTGTTTACGGATAGAGAATAATCCTTTTCAACTTTGTTAGTCATAATTTTCCTGATGAATTTGTCTGGATAGCCATTTTCAATCAAAGTATCATATAAAATGCTTAGTTCACCTTCAATTACTTCTTCTGAGCATATAGCTCTAACCCTGTGGCTGAGGGTCCTTACTAAATTCCTTTTATACTGCAGAGGAATGAAGCTGTGAAAATGTGTATATTGTCCTATCGATGTACTTTCCCTATGCAAATTTCTCTTTATACTACCATCTCGTTTTCTTGTAAGGAGGACATCTAGGTTATTGTTTTCTGTTATAATGTTTCAACGTTTTGTCAGTTCTTAAAAACACTTTTCAGTCAAGTTATTTAAGATAGTTAGTTAGGAATTAGTGAAGAAATATATGTCAGCTAATGCATAATTAATATTTAATATTTAAGACAGCAACTTTCTATATATCAGTGCAAACTAGCTGCACAAAATTATTACCTGCCCTTAGAGATTAGTGAAAACAACCACCTGAAGAGTTTCAGGAGGCAGTGTTTGTCCTATCCTTCAGTAATTGAACGATAAATGAAAGGACAAAAGAAAAGTACTTCCATATATTGGAAATACTCCATACTCAGTAGCCCGTAATAAATGTATGCCGTAAATGGAGGAAGATTCACAAAAGTATATTATCCCACCACAGAGTTACAAGGTGTATAGCAAAGGGTTAGATAGTCACTTCACTAAATATCATGATGACCTTATTACAAAACTACATCTAAGATCATCAAAATGCTGTTAAATGTCATAATATGAAAATACTTATCTTAATACACCATGTTGATGAGTTTGAAACTTTAGGCTGATATGAAAGTCCTGGATACACGGCACTCATACTTGCAGTTAAATTAACATTTACACTCGACACTATATGGGTAAAAGTCAAACTATTCATCAAATGAGATCTCAGTTCGAATAATCACCTCAATTTGAAAGGTAATATGATGAACGCTGAAGATTTGTAAAACCAAACAACAGAGAATAAAAATTCTTCTTCAAATAGGTACAGACAAATTTCTCAAAACGGCCATTTTAGAAAGAAGGCGAAATTGAAGGGCCGGACGAAATCACAAGTCATGGCTGTAATATCATGAAAGCAAAGCGCTAAGATAAAAACTTTAGAGACAACAACTTGACACATAGGAAGAATACGAAGAGCAAAGTCACTAGCTTTAGAAGTTGTAATTACATCAGTTAACCTGTATACTAGATGACAGTTATTGCGTTTCCGCAAAATGCATATTGCATTATTACTATTCCCTTGGGTCTCGACTGGAACATAGGGCTCCAATAGCACATTCTCCACTCAATCCTGCTCTCTGCAGTCCTTTCTAGACAGCTCCGTGACTGTCCATAAGCTTGTATCTCCTTCTCAAATGATTTCCTCCATGTCATTCTTCTACACACAACTCGTCGTTTCCTACTCGAGCGTTTGATATCACTCCATAGTCATCTCAGCTCACGTCCAGTCCATCTCAATCTTCGAAATATTTGTTGGACTATTAGTTCTTGTGTGGTTTGCTGCCAGAGTTCCTTGTTGTTTATCCGATCTAACTGGCTGTCCGTTCTTCAGTTTCCAACCAGCGAATTGGACAGCTATTGGCAGAAATCTTAAGTAGCCTGCACTACCTGTAGCTGAAACGATACTGTTTATTCAAGTAAGTAGAAGAGGGCACTTCCCTTGAAGTTCTCCTACTGGTGTTGATTAGTTTTTCTTGTCGATAGTTGGAGATCTTAATCACCTCCCTCTTGCCTGTGTTCATCCAAATTTCTGTCTTTGCCGCCTCAACTGTCAACCAGTATGTTTTTGATTGTAGACTTCCGAGATTTTGTGATATTAGACACAGTCCATTCACGGAATCCAGACCTTCCGATCTTTCGTCTCCTGTTATTCAGTATGGAGCCTACTGAAAATGCTTTTCATGATGCAGACACAAAGTTTATGAACCGTACAGAAGGACGGACCTGAAATGAGTGTTGAAAATTCGAATCTTGTTCTCCATGCTGAGTGTAGAAGATTTCCAGACTGGTTTCAGATTATCTCAGGTCTCTCTTTCTCCACTCATCCTGTCTTTACTTGATTCAACAAAAAGTAATAGAGATTTCTTCTCTCTCTCTCTCTGCATATATTTTCAATTTGCTGTGAATTAATACATAAATTAGAGTACCCTTATGCGGAGGTGTTAAAGTACATTTTAGTAATATAAGTAACAAAGCACACGAATAAGCGATCTCACTTAAAACGGGCATACTTAGATTTTTGTATATCTCACCTATTTTGTTTGGTGTTTTGTATATAAACTATAAATTAATCTACATTCTAAAATAGTATATACGTAAATGTCTTTTCCTTTGGTTATTAACTATTCAGTTAAA